ATTTCCTTTATAGCATCCAGGCTGTAATATCCTGCGATATAACTGATCTGCTCGTAAATTTCCACGGAGGAAAGTAAAACGGCCGTAAGGGGACGGGAAGCGCGGCGAGGAGCGCACCATATATACGTCGCTTTCTTATTAACCGCTTCTTTCTTCACAGACGAATGATGGAAGGACGTAACGGAGAATTTCCCGGGCTATTGATTCGTATCGATAACGTACGTCGGGTGATAACTGCACGCCGTGTATCATCGGGCGGGATAATAACCGGAAGGCACCCAAACGACCCGTCATTTTTCCGAGCTCGATCGCAAAAGGGTGCACGCGCGAGAAGAAAAACATACGCACAACGAAGGATTCACCTTCATGATCGTGGCTTTGTTTTCGACAACGTAGCGAAGCGCTCTCTATGCTTGCCGACTAAAATACAGAGAGAGAGTGTGTGTGTGTGTGTGTCTCGCGGGCGCTATAAAATAGCGATTATGGGACATTATCTCCGAAATTTCGACGACGCCGGCGGATTCTTTCGACTTTTATCCGACGAATTAGCGATAGGTAATCGCACCCCGCTTCATTTCACTCTAAACGCTGATCCTGAAGGCCCGGAAGGTATTACCGTCACTGCCACGAAGGGACAAACGTCGGGTGTGGCTTATCTGAACGGACGAGCGGTTTCACCGGAATTTGCTTGTAACCGCTTGTAGCCGCAGTGCACACTGGTTCAGCATGTTGAAGTCGCGCGTGTATAGTAATTACTTAACGAAGTAAATACGATTACACACACACATATATACACATACACACATATGCGCGTCCTAGAAATATTTGTTGAGTCCGCGTTCACGTTGAGATAGCAGAGAATAATTGTACTGAAAATTATACCTACAAAAATACATTGTAAAAGTATAAAAAAAAAGACGAATATTTTTTAACTTATCTATTAGAGCAAAGAATATAACAACGCATTAATATTGCGTATCGCATCGCGAAAATAGAAGATTGAAAAAGGAAAATAACGCGATTTCAAGTCAAAAGAAATCAGGTTAATAATGCCAGGAATGGTATTAGTGTTATAAGAATAATAGTAAGTCGCGGATGGTAACGCCGGCACATTATTAGAATTTCAAATGGCGTTTCTCCAAAAAACCGTTTTACTTGCAGCCCGGGTCAGACTGATTTGTCTGAATAAGTAACGTGCACAGGATTTTCACACACTGACCTAGTTTTGGTAGCTTATCATCCCTCCGAACGTTTCGAAATATCTATCGGGTAAACTTGTACAGTCTAAATATTGAGATATTTTAACGCTTAGTTAAATTATCACAGATCAAAAAATGCTATTGTGATTCACAGCTAGCGATTAAATACATCATAAAGATTTAACACCTTGTATATTTGATACTCTTTCTAATTCTATCAGGTCTGTAAATATGAAATCGGAATTTGCCCATAGATGGCCCTAACTGTCAATGTAGTTACCGTCAAACCGCGTCATTGGCGCCATTTCCTTGTTGACATCTCTGACAAAGATTTTCAACTCACAACAATACAAGTTTCATACAACAGCATAGTTTGTAATAGCGTTGAACATGTCGAATTTTGTGCCTGGAAACTACGATTTGCGGACAGCATTGATTTTCTGTTACCATTTGAAGAAAACTGCTGCAGAATCGCATCGAATGCTTGTCGAAGCTTACGGTGAGCATGCTCTTGGTAAATCACAGTGCTTTGAGTGGTTTAAAAAATTCAAAAGTGGCGATTTTGACGTGAGAAACGAAGAACGTGGAAGACCACCGAAAAAGTTTGAAGACAGCGAATTGCAAGCATTGTTGGATGAGGATGACACTCAAACGCAACAACAACTTGCAGATCAATTAAATGTGACACGAGAAGCCATCTCCATACGTTTGAAAATGGATTCCACATGAACTGAATGAAAGACAGCAGGAAAACCGAAAAACCACTTGCGAAATGCTGCTCGCCAGGTACAAAAGAAAGTCATTTCTCCATCGAATTGTGACTGGCGATGAAAAGTGGATATATTTTGAGAATAGTAAGCGTAAAAGATCATGGGTAACTCCAGGCGAACCATCGACATCGATTACAAGGCCAAATCGCTATGGACGGAACACAATGCTCTGTGTTTGGTGGGATCAGAAGGGTGTGATCTATTATGAGCTGCTAAAACCTGGCCAAACCGTTAATACTGAACGCTACCGACAACAAATGATC